AAATTTGACGCCCTTTACCTGTTTGCTGACGTCTTTATTTGCCGACCTGTTTTTTTATATTCCTCTGAAGCAGAATTTAGTCAAAAACTTCTACATGAGAAAAAAAAACCACTCACTGTACTGTAGCCTTCAACTTGAATTTAGATACATAGACGATGTATTATCAATTAACAATAGTTACAGTAACTTTCATTCATATGCCGATTCGATATATCCCAGTGAACTTCAAATAAAAGACACCACAGAGTCTGCCACATCTGTTTCCTATTTGGGTGTTTTACTGACTATATGATAAGGGCCAACTGACAACAAAATTATGACAAACGAGATTACTTCAACTTTTCCATCGACAACTTTACTTAGTTGTAGCCCTCTCCCATATTTTCAGAAGTCTTCAATTCCACAGGATCTCCGTAATGGTGAAAATATTTTTTTTTTGAATACGGGTGACTGCGGGCAAAATAAATTGCTTACGCGTTCAAATTCCTTCCAATAAGATTGAATCTTTATTCATGTCATCAACTACATAGCCCTTTATACGCTAAAACACGGTAAAATAAAACTGCGTGTTTACCGTTTGTCTTCCTCAGCAGTCATGACAGTTCTCGCGTGATGTTCTGAGACTTGCGCTTGAAATTTAGGAAGGCTGGATAAAGTAAATGTAGGTGTTGATATTATTTTGTTGTGCTATTTGAGATCGATTACTGTTCGTTATCTTTACCTTTTCACTCTAAATGAGAGAAAAATTCTCGAACGGGACATAAAACAACATACAGTCAATCTGGTAAATACTTGTAGATCGATTTTCATAACTTATGCCATTGATAAACTAAAATAGTATATTTTTTTTTACGACAGTTAAATAGGAAATCCCCTTATTGTCCAAATATACATTCAGAAATTTACGGCCGCCAACAACACTACAGGCTTTTTGATCCATTACCAGAAATAAGTGTACATTTTTCTACGCCGCTAGTGAAAAGACAAAAAAATGACCTTTAGAAAAATATGTCTAGTTTGTAGAAAAAGAGCCCCAGGGTCAGTTTTCTACAATGCCGTCTATAAAGAAATGACTGCATTTATATATATATATATATATATATATATATATATATATATATATATATATATATATATATATATATATTATATATATATATATATATATATATATATATATATATATATATATATATATATATATATATTTATCATCCCCACCCCCACCCCAAATTTAAAAAGACCTAAACTTTGAAAGATTTTCAATCAGTTAAATGGGCCGATGCGTCATCCTGTCAAACACTAGACTATATTAGACGAGGCGCGGGGTGGTGTGGAGGTTACAACACAGCAACTGCAGCAATAATAAATGAAATAAACCGGCATAAAATTTTATCTGACCCATCTCATTTGTTTTCACTGTCTTCATAAGAATATAAAAGAGGTCGGGTAATAAAGGAGCACAGTAGATGCCCGATTTTATAAAGCTACACAACATATCTCTATAGAGTCAATAAAACCATGCTATCATAACCACAGGCACTTGGGGTCTGGACCCCCCCCCTTTTCCATTTTTTTTCTTTTTAAATATGGGGTCGAGTCACCTTTTTCCTATTTTTGTATTCTAATATGCACTATATGTTATCAATAATGTAACTCTTTTGTCTCTATATGCTGTTTTTAAATATACCGTTTTCGACTGATACATAAAAAGAGAAGGCTTGCAACTCTTTTCTCGTCGTCTGCCTCACCTCGCTTAAACTTCGCCTGATTATTTATCTAAAGCATAAGAAGACATGGAATATGCATACATCAATAAATTTGTTACACATTCTTCTTCCTTTTCATATTTCCATTTAATTTTTATGTGCCCCCGATTTGTAAATATTTCGATTAAATCAACCGCATCTAGGGTAAATTTTGTTGATGTGCACTAGCTGGGACGGAAGTGCAATAACGGTAACTCTAACTTTACAAATGTTCTGTATTAAATAAAAATTCCAAGCTTTGAAATAAAAATATTGAGAAATTTGGTTGTCTAAGTCGTATGTTAAATGTTAATCTTTATTCATTAGAATCTGCTAGTTAGCGTTATCTTGTTATACACAAAACTTACCGTTACATATATTATGAAGAGAAAATTCGGGATTTTTTCCCTCTTTCATTTAAAGTTCCGAATGACATTACACATAATGATGACGCCCGAAAATACCAGCTAGTGCACATCAACAAAATTTACCCTAGATGCGGTTGATTTAATCGAAATATTTACAAATCGGGGGCACATAAAAATTAAATGGAAATATGAAAAGGAAGAAGAATGTGTAACAAATTTATTGATGTATGCATATTCCATGTCTTCTTATGCTTTAGATAAATAATCAGGCGAAGTTTAAGCGAGGTGAGGCAGACGACGAGAAAAGAGTTGCAAGCCTTCTCTTTTTATGTATCAGTCGAAAACGGTATATTTAAAAACAGCATATAGAGACAAAAGAGTTACATTATTGATAACATATAGTGCATATTAGAATACAAAAATAGGAAAAAGGTGACTCGACCCCATATTTAAAAAGAAAAAAAATGGAAAAAGGGGGGTCCAGACCCCAAGTGCCTGTGATCATAACCAGGCACAGACACGTAGTATCATTTTCGAAGGGGGGGGGGGGCAGAAAAAAAATTTGACAACTGCAGAAAAACTTTGACAATAAAAAAAATCTAAATCCTATTTTGTGGGGATAGGGGAGGTTGGGGGTAGGTAACAACTAAATTTATTGATGCATTACCACATTACCATGATTAAACCATACCGCAACAAAAAGGGGGGGTTTCAACCTTTTAATGAACATTTTCAACATTAAAAAGTTATGTCTGGAAAATATTATGTTCCTGCATAGGGCACTATAGGTTTCCTCTCCGTCTGTCTGTCATTGTATCACTCAATTAAAGCCTCCCATATGGTTTTCCAGATTTTTTTTCTAGATCTAAATGTATACATGTATTTAGCTTATAATCTACCTTAACGTGTTACAGATCAAGTTTGTATTTCGTTCTGCTTCAATGATTTTTTATGGCATTAAGGTTGTTCGACTAAAAATTATTAATAAATTTACAGGTTTTCTAGACTTTTTTCTAGCTAAAGACACTTGTAATTATTGAGCTCGGACATTTTCCGAGCTTGCCGGAAAAGCCCGAGAAGATGCGATTGCTACAAAACAGTACCACACAAGAATATTTTAAATTAGGTGCTCGTTGGCTTTATTGATCTCTTATTTTCACCTCAAAATTGAAATTACATTACATTACAGAATGCTTAAAGCACACTTAATGAGTTATGCCATTGCCAATCTGAAGCCCACTCTAGATAAACCATTCTGAACTGAGATGTGCCCCCAACACCATCCAATGGATCAGATATCTGTGTGTTTTGTGATCATGGGTACAGCGCTAGCTCACATATCTTTTTTAAAAGATAACCTTGTTAATACAAGTTTAATTCAACAATTCCCGATATTCACGATAAAAGTCGGCATGCCTTATTAAAAACAACTAATGGAACAATCAGAAAATCACATGGCGTCACTCGGCCTTTTTCGTCAAGTTAAAAAGTTGAGAAAAAAACAGAGGTTTCATCTTGGTTGACGGAAGAGGCCAAGTGATTTCCAAATTTAAATTTCAGTTTGCTTGGTTCATGTCATTAATACATTTGAAAAAAATGTCACTATGTTACATGTATAAATATGTTTATCAATACTAATTAGCAAAGCCATACTTCTCAAAATTCATGAGACATAACAACAACTCAGAGTATTCTTGAAAATTGGCCAAAGGTCAAGGTCAGGTGGATTGTAACGCTGATGTTTTTCATTATGTCTTATAACAAGCAGTGTACTTGCCAAATGGCACAAAAATACATTTAAAAAGTCAAAGAATATGTGTATATCAACACTATGGTGTATTTTGAAAAGTAAGTCAAAAGTCAAGTTTAAAGCTGACGAGGTTGGTTACCTGTTTTTGTTTTTTTGTTTTTTTTTCAAAAGTCATTTTTCCAAGCAATACATGAGCCAAATAACGGTATCAAATCCTTACCTTTCACAGTTCTCAAGATTTAATGTATGACAGTCGGACGGACGGACAGACAGACAAAGTGATTCCTAAGTATCGCTTTGGGGCTCGTTTAATTTACAAAAGAACTTACGACTAACACTAAAAACTTAGTTGATTGTAAAATCTAACAATACTTATGTTTCTGCTAAAAATTGTTTGCATAAAAATATATACATGTATCTTTCTAAATTCTTTTTAAAAGAATGAAAACCATTTTCAAAGTAATGGAAAAAGGAAAGTTATTTGCATACTAACATTTTGATTTTAGTCGTAAGTTCTTTTGTAAAACGGGGCCTTGCTCTGCAGTCTACATAAAAATACACACATGTATAAAACCTAAGGGGTCATTATTTTACGGAGGTCATTTTTCTTCTCTATTTTTCTACATACGAAATTTTGGAGCAGGCCCATAGAACGCCGAGGGGGTTGGGGTGCCAATTTTTCTGAGTATAATATTTTGCTGTAGTAAATTTTCCTTAAGATTATGGTCCCCCCTCCAAATAGACACGTTTTGTTGCTGTAAGGTCTAGCACTGACAAATCCAAGATTTGGACAATTCATACATTTTTTTTTTGTCAGATTACTTTGGGAAGTTGTCCCCCCTCCCCACTTTTAAGTCAATATGAGTTTTTTTAAAAAATTTTTTTTATTTATTTATTTTTTATTTTTTGCTTAATTGTCAGATTTTTTGGGAAAGTTGACCCCTCCCTCCCCCCTACTTTTGAAACCGTTGCTACGGGCCTGTTTTCGACGTCGAAGATGACCCGGTTCATTATTATTACATAGCCTTGAAACATGGTTTGTTTTATAATATAAAAAGAAAAATATATTACTTTTATGACTGCTTTTTAGGAGTACATATTTACTTTCAGTATATAACAAAAACAATACTATACCCGGAAAGAACGTTCATTAAATTCCCTGCGGAAATCCTCACTGGTGATTTTGTTAATCCATTCTCTTTTGTAGCAAAAGTCATCTCCAAGATCGTCAAACTTCTCCTCTTTTAGAAGAACAGGGATGTCATGAGAAAGTTTATCGTAATTTTCCCCATAAGATGGATTTGTACAAACTTCCGCCTGTCTGATGAGAAAAAAATATTTGTAGAATGTGGAAGCTGGTGAGATTTAAAAAAAAAAGGAAAATAAGTTAAAAATTTGGATATTTAAAGTAATACCTTTTGTGGACAACTCTGTGAGTTTTTGAGTCCATTGTAATGTTTGAAGTTAAACATACCACTTGATCTGGTTTAGACTGAAAACACTTGCGCATGCTCTTTACAATTCTTACTCTGAATAAACTTCCTTTTGCTTTCTTTTTATTTTCTTGAATACATGTACTTAAAAATCGGGTATCTGTTCACAATTTTTATCTTATCACAAAATTATAAATCTATTTTGGGAAATGCAGCCCTAATATACATATTTCTGTAGGTTTCATTCGTCAGAAATATTCTTTATAATTAGAGAGGAATATTTTCAGATCTAGACATGCATAAGAAGTGTTCTCTATTTCGAGATTTAATAATCTCATTTAGAAGTAATTAAGGAATTACTGATAAATAAGTAATATCATCATTTTTTTTCTAATATTTAAATTTAAGAAATTAAAACTGAAGTCTAACTGGACAAAAAGTATAACAGATTTATATTTTGTAACTAGGAAGGCCCTGAAATTTTTAGTCACTTGATGTTTGGCCTCTTTTCATTTCGGACATGGATAAGATTTATACATGCATTCACCACACCACCAAGATATAATTTTTTCCCCCACTGATATGCTATGCAAAATATGTGTACAGCCTAAAGATCCCCAAACAGTACTTACTTAATAGTAAAGCATATATTCTTTTTAATTATATTACCTTGCCTGGGTGAGTTTGTGTTTGGTACATTTGCCTCACTAGCAAATGAGACTGATATCTTCCACGCGATCTTTCAGAGCCTAAGCCACGATTTTGGAAGTGTTTTGGTCATAGATACTTCGGAAATACTTGTACAAAGGGTTATTTATGTGGAGAGGAGCTGCTTTTTGAGGATTTCATCACGAAAGAAACTTTCTGAATGACAGACTGAGGTTCGAAGTTTAAGGTAGACGTAATTGATTTTTCTGTAGGAAGGAGGAAACTGGCAAAATTTAATATTACATAATTTTCTAAATCTTAAACAAATTATTCAAATATTCTTAATAAAATAGCAAAAAAGATGTCTTAGAGTAGAATCTAAAAGGAAGGTTTGGTATATATATTTTCTTCAATATGTCCCCTTTGATGTTTGCCTGATTTAAACTTCTTGATACTATATAGAACATTTTATGATTGTCAAGGAAAAGAAAAATGCAGGTCACTGGTTTGAGATTAACTATTTGCAAGAAAGCTTAATATGTTATCTTATTTGAAAATAAAGTATGTAATTCAAGTGACATGTTGATGCACATGTGCATTATGTTTGTTGGCCTTGGAATTGTACAGCTGATAAGAAGCAATCTGATTATATATTTGATCAGATGAATATTGACGTTACATGTATATCTTGCACTATCCTGTATGGACATCATAGGACAAGAGTTCCAAAACTTATATTATATAATGCATCTGTATTGAACTACTAGTATTTAATTGCTCTGTATGATTACAAATTTGATTTCAAAGTTAAATTTGACCCTTAGATAAAAAATACTATAATAACCTTTAGTTTACCATTTATAATAAACTATAGTTAACTATAGTAATTTTAAGTTAAAGATTTTCACTACTGAAAATCAAAGTTTTCGAAGTAATTACTATTGATAGTGCCATAGCGATCACTATAATCAAATCCTTAAATAAAAGTCAAATTTTGTAAAAGGAAAAAATTATTATTTTCACCGAATAGATGTGTTGAGTCTTGTATTGAGAACATGAGAATTTCTAAGCTCTTTAATATAATACTTTTAATGAAATACTTTTTATTTGAAATTAATATTTTGAATAATATGATACTTTTTGAAACCAAATACTTTTTAATGACTACTATTGGCAAGATATTTCTGTATTGAATAAAGGTTTATTTCTCATGTTAATTCGTAATTCTTGTGTTATCAATGTTGATATGTAAGTGGAGGGACCGCTGATATAATGTTTTATTTAAAATTAGTATGGCACGTTAGTAAATCACACTATACAAATAAAATTGCATTTATGTACATGTACTTCAAACAAAGAGTTTACTATAGTTAACTGTAGTATTTCTTTGAATTTTTTTGCAAACACTTACTTTAAAAAAGACCATTAAAACTTCTGTGGGAATACACATGCATATTATTACTAATTAGATTTGTTACTGTCTTCGATGATATATCAGGTTTGTCAATCTCATAGAATATGAGATTAATTTACTTGATATATTTCCCTAGATATTAAGTTATAAACATAATAAGAGATTTATTCTCTCGATGACCACAATGTTAGAGACATGCCCACTGTAATAAATAATTTCTAGTATAGAGATGGTTAGGCTATGGCTATTTTGCCGGATGTTTTTGTTGGTTTGTTTGTTGTTTAACGTCCCTCTCGAGAATTTTTCACTCGCATGGAGACGCCACCACTTGCCGTTGGAGAGCTGCAAATTTTGACCTAGGCTATGCTTGGCACTTAGGGCCATTGAGCAGTGAGGGATCTTTTTCGTGCCAGCACCTACTGCGACACGGGACCTCGGTTTATACGGTCTCATCCGAAAGACCGGTCTCCACTTCCCACAGAGGGATTGCGACGTAAGGATCAACTCCTTACTTCGCGACTGTAGAGCAGACCTCTTACCACTGCGCACACGCGGGCTTTTTGCCGGATATAAATTCTAACCTGTCAGACAAATAAATAACCGAAAATCACATGACACGATTAAAACAATGAAAGTGTGACATTTGAGGCTAGAGGAAAATGAAATGCCATTAACTGAGTATGTAAAAGAACACTATGATTTGTTGAACCTGAAGACAAAAATGATGCCCGAAGCTGAAGGCTGAGGACATCACGGTGTTTGATCGTACATGTAGTCAGAATCTCGGTCGATTACTATTTTTCCATTTCAACCAAATTTTTTTTTACAATAAATAAATATAATATAATAATAATAATATCAGAATTTTATTTTATTTAACGAAATTTTAATTAAATTCACTCAAACTTTTATAAAGGAAAATATTATGCATAAACAGTTTTAATGCTATTAAAACAGAAAAACTTCTCTGTCAGGTAATCATCTCTTTCAGCTTTTAACAAAAGTTAAGAAAGATATCGAGACACCACCTTTATATGACAGATCAGCTTATGCGCATTCCTTTAGGAATTTCCGTCAAGTATATATATAGGTAATACATATAGATACATGGCAAACATGTTTAAAATATTGACCAGAATTCGAATCAACACTAGTCTCCTGGTTAGTGATGTTGACACTTCGGAATAAATATGCCTAGTTTTGAAAATGTACATGAAATAATCTAACTCAATTTTATAAATATCTTATAAAGGACGACAGATGTATGATAACTATCACCTTAAATGACTTGAAGAAATTATACACGACAAGGTTTCTGACTGCTTGCCGTCATTTTCAATCTTCTCTTAACCGTAAATGTCCATTGCACTGGTTCGAAAGCTTTTAATGATTTCTTTAACATTCCTTCCAATTGGTAAGGCATGACTGCCCGAATCCGATACTTAAGCTTTAAATCCTTTATTCTTTAGCCTGTGACTGCCCCTCATCTTAAGGTTGTGTTTATCTAATATCGCAAGTTCAAAGCAAATTTGAAAAAAAGATAAACGGTGTATGGAACCCATGATTCATCATAATTCTGTTTTGTTGTCTTGCAAAATATACAGAAAATTTTATATTTCTTTTAGAATGACATCCCCTCTTTCGAATATACAACCCGGGTCCAACTGAATTGGTTGATGCTAATGACCCACACAGCCGAGGTACCTGTCCTTATCTTGCTTGAAGGCTATTTCTGAAAGGTCAAGTTCACTTGGCCATGATGAAACCAATTTTAATTAATCGATAATTTCAAAAAACATTTAACTCGTACAATGATGTTGTTAACATTTGATAAGAAAAATTGATACTGTGTTTCTGATCATAAAATAAGGAAAGGCAGAAAAATTGAGAAATGGAGATATCATGCATAATGTGTAAAACTCTTTATCAATATCTATGGTTAAAAACAATGATTCTGGGAAGCTGTCACTTAATAATCAACTGTTTTTTTTTTCAATATGTCCCCAATGATCAATTTAAATCAATATTTTGCATCCTTTACATCTTTAGTATTTAATTCGAATGCTTCAACTAAAAAATGTACATTTATGAATGTATATGTAAAATTATCATTTTGGACTTCGGAAAATAATTAACTATATTATAAAAATATTACTAGTATTTTGCTTTTGCTCCATACTTTGAAAATATATAACCTGACACTAAGCAATAAAAACAGTTGAAAAGTTCAAAAACTGCATTTCTTTTAACTTAAACAACTTAATTTGCTTCCCAAGCATTCACAAATGAACAAGTAGACTAATTGTTCTCGAACAAAAAGAGGTTTTTTTCACCTTCTTTAAGTTTTGTTTATTTTTCATATCTAACTCTCTGCGTATAAATTTCATAGAAAAAGAAGCCAGAAGATGTTTGATGATTTTTTCCTATATATTCCTATGTAAAACTTTGATCACTCATTGTGGTTCGACCTTAGCTCCGGGGGTCATCATTTGAACAAACTTGAATCTACACTACCTGAGGATGCTTCATATCAACATGATTAAACATGGCTATGCTGTTCTAGATTTTAAAGATTTTTTTCCAATTTTTTCCTATTTGATCTACCATTGTGGTGTCACCCTATCCCTGGGTGTCATCATTTGAACAAACTTATTTCTTCACTACATGAGGATGTTTCCCTATTAATATGACTTATAATGCCTTTGCTGTTCTTGAGAAGATTTTTAAGGATGTACACTGTATTCCTATGTAGGACTTTGATTCCCCATTGTGACCCCATCCTACTTCCGGGGATCATGACTTTAAAACAAATTAATTTGAAGTAACACTATGTAGAGAAGATTTATTTTAATTTTTTTAAAGATTTTTAAAAGACACCACCAAATTTTACTATTTCTGAATTATCTCCCCTTGAAAAAAGGCGTAGCCCTTCAACAAACTTGAATTCCCTTTATCCAAAGATGCTTTGTAGCATGTTTGGTTGAAATTGGCCCAGTGGTTCTAGAGAAGAAGTCG